AAAGTATGCTGAAAATGTTAATTTTTCAAACTGTCTTATACGTGTCACAAATGTATTTTTCTTACCCTTCCAAATCACAATGCCAGTAAGATCTTTACCTCTAACTGCTGACACACTTTTGAACTCTTTAATCTTGGAGCTCTTTTTGTATCTCTTGCTATTTTTTGTTTGCCTTCTAGAGTTCTATATGTCGATCGCTTTTGCAGAACCTCCATCCATAGTTCAGTGTGTTCCTCTGTTCTTTGTATTTTCTGTACATTGGTAGTTAAATTTAGAGGCGATATCTAATTCAGGTTAGATTATTTTGGCAATGGCAAGACTACCTCACAGATTGATCTATGTTCAGCCATCTTCTGTAAGAAGGCACAGACCTATAATGTGTTGTTTTCTTTCTCTCTTTCTGACGTAAATGAAACTGATGATCAGTTCCTATGTCTTTTAGTTCATTAGGCGCTATATAATGGTGCTATTCTCTTTTTTTGGTACTGCAGGTTGAACTCAGGACCTTGCACTTGCAAGGCAGGTGGCAGAACCACTGAGCTAAATCACCGGCCCTATTCTATTTTTATCATTGCTTTTCACTGACTGGCTGGAATATTTTTCTAAAAAGAAATATTGCCTCATGCACTATTTGGTTAAAATGGCTTTGCTGTTTATATATAAAGATGGAAAAAAACTTGATTCTTTCCTTTTATTCACAAGTTTTCAGAATGATGAGATGGCTCCTTATCATTACTCAAGAGGACCAAGGATGCCCAGACAGGTGGTAAAACTATTTCTGGTGTGTTCTGTGGGGGCTTTTCCAGAAGAGATTCACATATTGGTTAGCAGACTGATTAAGGAATTTTACCCTCACCAGTATTGGTGGCATCAGCCAGACTGCTGAGGTTGTGAATAGAACCGACAAGTGGTGGAAGGGTGAGTTTTGCTCTTTGCTGAGGCTAGGACATGCCTCTTCTCCTACCCTTACCTTCGGCACTCCCATATCTTGGGCCTTCAGACTATGGTTTGCTCTGTGGGCTCTCCTGGTTCTGAGGATTTCTTTGGACTGGAAATAGAACTAATGGATTTTCTCTAATTGCAAATGGCAGGCTGGGGCACTTCTTGGACTTCATAGTTATGTGAGCCTTGACAATAAATCCTTTTCTTTATGTGGATATAACCTATCTCTTCTGTTTCATTGGGGAAGCTTGACTAGTACAAGCATCACTGGGCTTTCAGTGTGGCTGTTGTGCTTTAATGCTTTGCACTTACCATTCTTATGGGTGCACAGACTTTTGCATCTTTGGCCAGCACAAGTTCTCTGTTGGCTCCTGAGTCTTCCTGTTGTGACCCTTAGGAGTCTGTGGCAGTTTTTCAGCTTTCTGGCAAGAAAGTATTTTCCAGTTTTGTCTTTTTTATTTCCTGATCGTGTGTCAAATTTAAGAGGAAAATACTAGCATTTGGTTTCTTTTTTTTTTTCTTTAGCATAAAATGGCAAAGTTGAGCTTCAGGTTTCTTTGTGGTTGTTAATGGCAGGACCAACACTTAGAGGTGTTGGTTCTGAACTGGAGTCTGTGCTACTGAGACACAGCGCTGCCTAGGCACACCCTGCCTTCTCTGACAACATTCTAGGAGCTTGTTTGAGCTGCTTTATCCAACCATGGTGTTGTGACTTCTACACTGATTGTATTTATGTGCCACTGAATTCTCTAGGGGACCTCTCATCATTCAGTGGGAAGTGATTCATTACACATATCGTGTCCTTTAAGTGGCCAATTCAGTGAATGGCATTGTTTCTTTTTAAAAAGACTGTCATATATCTCCGACAATGTATTTTCTCCCCATCATCACTATTTTGAATTATGTCTCCCCAAAAGATATAGTTCAAGTACTGACTACAATATATATATTTGAAGAGTATGGTCCTCTTTACAAACAGGAACATGGCACATCTAATTAGTTACATGAAGTGGTCTCGTAACCCAATATGAGTAGCATCCTTATAAGAGCCGAGAAAATCAAGTGAAGAGAGATACCCGGGCACAATGCAATGAGGTTGTAGAAGAAGAGGTCAGAGCGATACAGCTACAAGCCTAGAAATGCCAAAAATTGATGGCCACCACCTCTGAGTTAGGAAGAGACAAAAGAGGATTTATGCAGGGTGTTAGGGAGCAAAGCCTTGCTGACACCTTTATTTCACACTTTAGCTCCCAGAACTGCGAGAGAGTAAACATTTGCTGCTGTGAGCCAAATACATTGTGGTTCTCTGCTACTGCAACCCTAAGAAACAAAAATAATCACCTTCACTGGTGATATACTGTATGAGCCCACTTAATTAGTAATAGAGTGTATATTTTCCCCCAAAGACCGATTGTGTTTGTCTTTTAACTAGAAAACGACTTGTTAAAGTTTCTTAGTGTGTACTGAGCACAGAATATCGGAGAAATTGGGTCAAAGCCTCATTTGACTGATGGGAAAGTGAAGCTTCAGGGAGGGAAGTGGTTTTGGATGGGGTCCCCGGATATTAACGTAGAAGCCACAGAACGTGAACTCAGATTTCTGGATACACAGTGCTCAGCTTTTTCCAGTGCACACACTGGGACTTTTTGGACCACTTTTGCTCTAGATTCTTCCTCTTTGCCTCTTTCTTTTTATCGTTGCAGTGAAAAAATTTGTTTTGGTAGCAGAGATCAAATTCAGGCCCTTGTGCTTGCAAGGCAGGCAGTGAAAGCACTGAGTAAAATTCCTGGCCCATGGTGCAGTGAAATTTTCATACAATGTGGGTGCTTACTCAATGGAGTATAGCACAGAACCCAGATGATAGTCTGTCCCTCTGCCAAAAAATAAATTCTCTTCTTCTATTTGCACTGATCTTGTGAAAGTGAAAATTTCTTCAAAGAGTTTATTGATACTTTTTAAGTATACAGTACAGTTACATTCATCATTGGGATCTTGTACCTTTACATGACAGGTCTTGGTTCTTTTTTTCCCC